ACAAACGAACTGAAAAGCAGTTTTAAATATTTTATTATTTTGTGAACAAATATATACGTTCAAGAAAATATTGAAAAATATGGTCGATGAGGAGAAACGCCGACGGCGATTATTACTCCAAGATCGACGATCTTATCGCGTGCGGTTTGTATAAAATCCATTTGCCTCGGCGACGATGACGAGTGATTATTCGACTTGAGGTGTCCCTGAGCGCTAAATGATTTCTCAGATCAATCTTGAAGTCGTTTATCCTCGATACCAACCGCGTTTGGCATTCTTTTCCATTAGTCCGCAATTTATTGCAATTGCGATTGTGATGCAGTTATCTTATCACGATCTGGCCAAGATCGCAGATCGTAGATGCATTATCTTTTCAATGTTCAATTAATCAGCAGTAATTAATAACAGAATGCATGCTATTTCTAATCCCGCGAGAGCAATATTTCGCCAGATAGTAATTGATACGACACTATTAGCCAATCGCAGGCGTTACGATTGTCACAATGATTATTTTCAAACCCCTTCGAGCGACAAAATGATTTCATAGTCGAGTCATACCTTGCATAGTGTGCTATTTAATGCTCCAGAAGGTGCGCCGCGTCGGAGAGGAGATATGCGGGAAACATGAAAAATATAGTGGAATTATCGTCTCTCGGTGCATGCTGCATTGTTATTAGTAGGCAGATGGAAGAAAGCCGACATGAGCGATTGGCTTTTAAGTGACGTCAGCCAACCTCACCTCACCTAGGATCGTGAAAATAGGCGTGAAACAATGTCGATTAGATCGCAACGCAGCAATCTGCGTTCGCGTATATCCCGAAGGCTACGGATTCTTCTTCGCATCCTCGCTTCCGCGAGAGCGAGATTTATTACGCGTCCGGAGTCGCGAAATTGCGAAATCGTCGGAGGTATTACGTGAAAACGATCATTTGCGAGAAGCATAAGATGAAATAGGTTTAGATTGCAGTATGTAAAGATCAAAGAAAGAAAAAAGATCTTTATATAGAAGATAAAAAAAAATAGAAGAATAAAAAGACTGCGCAGTTTCAAAGGCGTGTCTCTTTTTACGTGTCTTTACTTATAGAATTAACCCCTTGTATTTAGATGACAGATAACCCGTTGCGCTCATTTCTTATATACCTTTACATTAAAATATTTATCAAAATTGAACTACAAGTATTACAGGAAAGAGAAAATTAAATTAAAGGAAACTGCGATATATGAAAAAGATGTCGCCTTGAATTTTGATTAATTTTCTTGAGCTTAAAAAATGAAGAAAAAATTGGTATTGTATTTTAGAAAACTGACTTCAATTTTTACGGATATAAATATAATACTTTAAATCTAGAATACGGTCACGAGATGGATTATTTCTGGCGGCAATTGTTGAAAGAAGGTCGCCGTGGTAGATAATCGCCTTATGTCACTTCGCCTGATTAATACGCATAAAACGCGAGAGGGTCCGTCGAACTCGTAGGATAAAAATGGCCAAGCACACTCGAATCGTATGAAACACTTAATGGCCGAACCGGTACGCAACCTTCGCTCGGTGTCGCCGAATTAATCGCATTACGTGGGTTTATTTGCGTATACATCCGTAAAAGGCGAGCAAGAGTGGGCGGGAAACGGATGTACCGTTCGTAAATTTCGCCGACAAACCAATAGCCATCTTCAATGGTTTCTTTCGAAACCGTTCGGTCGGTCCTCGGACAAGGATCACGCCATTAGTATAAGTTTACCCTAATTTACATCCCAAGTCGAGTGTTTTTCTCTTATCTATATGTTTCTGCTTTCGCGTGGGTAATCGTGTTTTCATAACGGCAAGGATGATAGTCGGCGGATTTTAATTACTGGTATATCGCGGCATTGCGTGCAAAATAATAATGTGAACGAGCAAGGATGAACAAATTTGATGAATTAAAAATTTGTATGAAGAATATAGGAAGGCTAAAAGAGTGAATTGGGTCACGGTCTTAATTTTTGTTAAATTCGTTCCTTTTTTTATAATACAATGTAAGTGTTTGATCGAGACTTGAATATCCTAATAGAGCGTATTCTTTCATGTGGTCTGAATGAGTGAACCCAACATGTCCCTAAATCTTGTTGCGTTATTATAAACTAAAAGAGTGAATTAGATCACGGTTTTAATTTTTGTTAAATTCGTTCCTTTTTTATAATACAATGTAAGTGTTTGATCGAGACTTGAATATCCTAATAGAGCGTATTCTTTCATGTGGTCTGAATGAGTGAACCCAACATGTCCCTAAATCTTGTTGCGTTATTATAAACTAAAAGAGTGAATTAGATCACGGTTTTAATTTTTGTTAAATTCGTTCCTTTTTTTATAATACAATGTAAGTGTTTGATCGAGACTTGAATATCCTAATAGAGCGTATTCTTTCATGTGGTCTGAATGAGTGAACCCAACATGTCCCTAAATCTTGTTGCGTTATTGTAAACGGATGCTACGATTTCACGCTTTCAGCTGCAATAGGATTCTCGAGCGACGCACGCGGCATTTGTTTCTGCCACGTATTATAGTAACATAACACACGCCGACTTTTCTTCATAAAATTTATTCAGATGGCTGTCAAATAGCTCGTTGTACGATTCGTGAATAGGTAAAGGCCTGTGTTGCTTAAGAAGCCAGAAGTGACGGTCTCTCCCTCCTTTCCACTGATCTTCCTTGAAAAGGTGGGCGCGCGATTCATATTATAATTTCAACAAGCAGGATCCATTTGTCTTGCCGAGAACAGTTTTACAGTAAATTCGTTATCCCCCTAGAATAGTGCTAGAGAAGGGGAAGAAAAAGAGGAGACAGAGCCTTGCTCGCCGAGTCGTGACGACAATGAACCGTTTCCGTGACAATAAAACAAAGGATTGTTTAATGTACACAGTCTGTCTCGTTATGGGGGTTCTTTGTCCTTCTTCGTGTAATCATGCACGAGCTTCGACTAGCATCTAAAATACTTCTTTAAAAGGTTTGTCAATCATTCCATACTCCGATTTTGGAACTTCGATAGCTTTTCACTTCGTCCATCTTAACACATAATTCGATAACACTTATATATTTTTGTAAAAAAAACTTGGTTTATTTATGATTAAAATATCAATGATATTTACGTAACTTTGTACCAATTTCATGAGATAAATCGGTCTTCATTAATTTCACATTTATCACCCTGATATGTAATGCAATACAAGAAAGCGAAACATGTTTCCGAAATTTTCAGTAATTATAAAGCTTCAGGTAGCGAAATTTCGAACATCCAATAGTTTCTACACCTTCTGGATGTATAAAAAATAAATTATAATCGACCACTGGAGCTCTTATTGTTTATCGAGATGCAGCGGTACCTACTATAAATACATTCGCATATACATTCGAAAAAACTTCCGGGTTTCCAACACAATCAATCAAACCTAAAAATATCTCGTTTAATATTTTCTTTAATCGGCACAAACTATTAAAAAATTATGAAATGTGTATGTGATTAATGAGGAAAATGCGATCAGCATTTCGAAAGAATACATTGTTTACGTCAACTAGACAGCCATGCAACAAGTAACTTTGCAGAAACATTATAATTAGAAACAATAAGCTCAGCTGCTTTTAACTATGTACAATAAAAATTTATGTTGATGAAATGTAAACTTTATATCAGTTGACGATAAGAAAAGATTAAATTTTTTTTCTTAAAACTACAAATAAATTTTAGAAGATTGATGATCAAGTTTTGATAAAGTATCACACAACGTGATGTGATATGGTATTTTTTACTTTGATGAATTTTTATTCCGATTTGGGATATAGCTGACCATTATCCTTTTGAAAAATTTTAATTATTCTGTTGTTCTCTCATTTAGTTATATTATACGATAAAATCTGTACTCTCACTTTTTTTTTAATCATTTTTGTCTATATAAATATATGCTTTTGCCTCATTTTCGTAGTTTGAAATATCACTTGTTTTTATGTAATTTCGAATTAGAGAAAAAAAAATTTTTAAATAAATTAGTATTACAAAACTGAAAAACTGGAAAATGTATATAATAACAATTTTATTAAAAATAATCATTTATTTTACTTTTCAAAAATTTATATTTTAAAGAAATCTTAAAATATATTATTTATTTTTACTTTACATTGAAGTTTGATTTTATTATTAACAAACAGTTTTCTGGATAAATTTGTGAAAAAATAAATCTAGGAGAAAACAATAATTATATTAGTGAAAATATAAATTAGTCATAAATACTTTGATAAATGCTTGCAGTTTTAAAAAAGTATAGATATGCATGGTCTTCGAATACGGGTATCTTATTATCATTATAGCCTGTGAACAATTATGGTATTATGTTAGTTGTAGAATAATATTTAATATATCAATTTTTAGCAAGAAACTATATAAAATTTAATAATGCATATTATACATTTTTATCGTATAAAATGTATATTAGAAAATATAACAGAAAAATATTTTATTTAAAAAATAATAGATATCTTCAAAAGCATTTCCTTGTTTAAAAAAATGTAATATAGTAATATCAAAACAAAGCAATTTAATTCCAACAAACATTTTTATGAAGATAAATACATTATAAGAGACAACAGGTTACTATTGAAATGAAATATAATAGCTACTATAAATAAAATTATGAAAGATTAATATAATATATTAAAATTAATATATATAATTAATATATATTATAATTAATATATATAATTAATTTATATTAGTATTAATATATATAGGTAATTATTTATCTATATATAAAGTATATGGAAAAATAAATTTTTTACAACTCATTTGTGTTCAGAAATATAACAATGTAGTGCGTATATTAAAAGAAAATATATCCAATTATTAAAGAAAAATATTTTTCATATATATCCTCATTTTAATTCTCCAAAACGAATAAATTCGTTTATAATAATGTGTCACATAACTATAAATAAAGAATTACTAGTCAATGAATATTAAAAACCTATAAAAAGGTTACTAAAATAATCACGAATTTATCATTTAAATACGATGTTTTCTTATTATATAATTTTAAGATATAGTAATCGACATTTGTTTCGCTGGAGCAAATCCGACTCGGTCTTTTTCAAAATCAAACACACTATAATAACGGCGAAGAAATACATCCCCTAGAACCCAAAACTTAGTAGTGTTATGTGGTCTAAAACCGCTGTCACACTCCGTGAGATTCTCTATTGGTATCTGTACAGAAGCACAAAAAATGTAAGTTTTCTAAATTTAAATAGTTTCCTAGCCAGAAATAATTGTCAAATCGACGTCGATTCGACAATTATTTCTGGGCTTAAATCTATTATAGGATCTATAATATTTACCGGTACGATGTAATCCTGATTGGTAAGATTGAACATTTTACCAGGACCCATAATAAAACTGATTACTGGCATGTCAATAGAGTTTTTCTTGGTGCAGTTTATCTTTAAACAAAAGAGATCCAATTAAGAAATAGCAACTAACAACACAATTATCAATTTATATTTTAGTAACTTCTTATAATTTTTTTTCTACAGAAAGCTATGTCATTGTTAAAGGAAAATTGTTTACTTACATTATACTGTTCATAAGTTCCAATAAGTTCATTAATAATTGAGATGTCCGATAGTGGTCCATATATTAATGAGGTACCTGTATCAGCGATAGCTCGACAGTCACCCGCGCAGAAGGTATAATTATGTATTCTGATCCTACATAACAATAATAATATTAACAATTTGTTGTAATTATGATTATGAAAATAATTTTAAAAATAACGTACTCATTTATAATAAATTTCCAGTCTTCTTTCTCAGTAACAGGAACATACGTCAACTCGCCTTCGTAATAAGCGGGATCAGTACCACCCAATATTAATTCACCACCGACATTGTCCGAAGAACCTCTGCGCAGGTTGTATATTTTTTATTGTAATATATATATATATATTTTTTTTTTGTTAAAAAAACAATTTTCAGACATACGCAATGCATGAAAATAAAATGCATACTTATTCAAATAAAAGCTGACAACGGCTGATGACACTAGGCCTTGTGTTACCATATTGTAAAACACAGGCGTTACATTGTTGAGGGCCCACGTGGAATAACCTATGCCCAAAATACCATCAAATTTTGCATAAGTGAACGTAACGCCTAACATGTGTGTTACTTCCCCAAATGTTTGATTTTGAACATTGAGACCGGCAATCTAAAAATATAAATTGGTATATTAATAATAAAATATCACGAAAATGACATAGTTTAAAAATACTTAAGTTTATAAACTTCGATTGTAATTGATCAAATTGGCTTATTTGTTTAATGATTACTTACATTCACTACATCAGTGGATAAAAATCCAGCTATACCGCCACTGCTATATCTAATCTCAATCGCAGTACCATTTGGTATATATGTGCTGGATTTTGTACTATTATATTCCTTATGCAGGTCTATATAAAATAGAAAGTAATATTATAAGAAATTATCGCAATAGAGAGATTTTTAAAATAAAAAAGGTTTTTAAATAATTACTGATAAAAAAATTGTCTCCATATAACAAGATCTACTCGTATATTTTTGGCGTGACACCTTATATCAGACATTCTGTATACATTAATAAATTACTTACCGCAAGCAGAGACTGAACGGTTGCATCTTTGGGATGGTACCCAAAGATCTGAGGAACCAGTATCAATCAGTACTTTAAATTCCTGCGGTGGTGTTCCGATAGTAATAACAGCGTAATACTGAGCATCTAAATAATTGCATAAACGCACCTTAGGAAGAGTACTCGTATTACCTTTGGTCATAGAAACTTTTGGAATGTCAATGTCACGCTTTTTCAAAGTATGTCGAATATAATCCGTCTTGTGTAATAAAAGCCTTGAAATAACATAAAGAACATTCTGTTTTAGTTTACATTATTTTACAAAATATAAATATTTTATGCATTAGTTATATCAGAAACATTTATTAACTCCGTAATTTTTCTAGATTACCTATATGATTTATACGTTTCATATATATTTGAAATAATATTTACTTTATGGCTCAAGTATTATATGTATACTTGTATAAAATAAAGTCATTATATAATTTAAAAGACTTTGATTTTTAGAATAAAAACTAAAACCATATTGCATGCAATTTGGCACAAGAGAATAACTCCATATAAAACAATATTCTAAAAGCAGATTATATACACAGAGCTAAGTAAACAAACAGTACAAAACAACGCATTAGTACCGAGAGTTTATTTGTTTACGCATGAAAAATTAACTTATACTTAAGTGTTTTGATCTCGAATTATAACATACATGTACTTTAACGACAATTAAATGTAGACCAAAACTGTAAGGTATACCGACAAATTTCGCGAATTCACAAAGAATCACTTTTTCTATAACATTCAATGTCTCCATCTTTTTACTAATAAATAAAAATACATTTTTGTAAAATAATTTCCTCCAATCGTTATTGAAACGTTAATTGCGTTTACACAAATTTCGCTTCAAATCCAAAAAATCAGATGCAATTACGAAAAAAGAATCATCTCTATATATAATCTCAATATATAATGCAATGCAATGTGCACTTACCTCTGCAATTGCGCGTCGATCATCGCAAAGATTGCGACAACCAGCATAAAAATGCGAATCATGTTTGCGAATTTACTTGCGATTGGAACATCGAATCACAAAATTTCCAGCGACGAATTTCTACCTTATGACCGGACATACAGAAAAATAAAGCGTTGTCGATTACTAGCACTTTAATAACCCTGTTTCGATATTCAGGGGCTTATATATATGATCGCGAAGCGCTTAAATAAATGCTTGAGTGGGGTGAAATTGACAACAACAGACAAAACATTTGAAAAGAATTCCGATAGATCTCAATTAATCAATTTAATTTAAACATATATTTTTGATATGCCCTTTGAATAAATACAACGTGTATTTAGATAAAATATCAATAATTATTGAAAAAACAATTATATCTTCGCAAAAATATACTCTAGATCAAAGTTTATGGATTATTTTTACTTTTATCTTATATCTTATATATATATATATATATATATATATATATAAATTAATTTTTCTTTTTAACAGATGTTGCATTATTTTATCTTTTTAAAAATAAAAATAATCCATAAACTTTGATCTAGAATAAAATCTAGAATTTTTGCGAAAAGGTAAGTGCTGTATATATATATATACATGTATATCTTCAGGATATTTTTCAATTTGTCTGTTGACAATGAGACAAACAGTGTATATCTTTATCCTGTATTTTTGTAGCGTGATTATTACCATATATTATTGAAAATTTATTTTATTTGTTAAAAATGTCAAAATAAAAGAAATTTCATAATTTCTCGTGTGAAAGAAAAATTCATATTTTTTTTCTTTGCTAGAAAAATGAAGATTAGACTCACTGTCGCGTTCAGCGTCTGCAAAAATATTGGATGTCTAGGTTTTCTTAATGGATAATGGATGTTTCCATTAGTAAAAAAAATCACGTGGAGATTCGCGAACATTTATCTAAACAATCCAGACGTTCGTGCTAGCGACTTTGCGTTTCGACTCTAAACGAATCCGTCAATGAGGTTGGTTTATTTGCCGAGGGAATCGTCGTGGTACAGAATCGCTGTCATCTGTAATACCAAATAATTATACTGCGTGTTGTATTCGAAGACACTTATTCGCTTTTATATAAAGGAAATATTAAAGAATGCGTCTCATAATTTTATACAAATTATAATGAACCTATTGAAAGAAATATCTAAAATTGGTTGCATTTTATGATTTACATATTTATGTTGAAAATACTTCCGGGTTTCCAACACAATCAATCAAATCTAAAAATATCTCGTTTAATATTTTCTTTAATCAGCGCAAACTATTAAAAAATTATGAAATGTGTGTGTGATTAATGAGGAAAATGCGATCAGCATTTTGAAAGAATACATTATTTACGTCAACTAGACAGCCATACAAAGAATTAACTTTGCAAATGACATTTCGTTTGCAAGAAACATTATAATTAGCAACAATAAGCTCAACTGCTTTTAACTACGGAAAAATTTATGTTGATGAAATGTATAGTTTATATCAGTTGATGGTAGGAAATGATTGAATTTTCTTCTTAAAACTACAAATAAATTTTAGAAAATTGATGATAAAGTTTCGATAAAGTTTCACACAATGTGATGTAATAAGGTACTTTTTTACTTTGATTAATTTTTATTCCGATTTAGCTGACCATCATCTTTTTGAAAAATTTTAATTATTCTGTTGTTTTCTCATTTATTTATATTATACGATAAAATCTGTACACTCACTTTCTTTTTAATCATTTTTGTCTATATAAATATAAGCTTTCGTCTCATTATTGCAGTTTTATTGAAATATCACTTGTTTTTATGTAATTTCGAATTAGAGAAAAAAAATTTTAAATAAATCAGTATTACAAAAATGGAAAACTGGAAAATGTATATAATAACAATTTTATTGAAGAAAAAATCATTTATTTTACTTTTCAAAAATTTATTTTTCAGGGAACTTTTAAAATATATTATTTACTTTTTACTTTACATTGGAGTTTTATTTTATTATTAACAAACAGTTTTTTGGATAAATTTGTGAAAAAATAAATCTAAGAAAAAACTATAATTATATTAGTGAAAATATAAATTAGTCATAAGAACTTTGATAAATGCTTGCAGTTTTAAAAAAGTATCGATATGCATGGTCTTTGAATATGAGTATCTTATAATCATTATGGCCTGTGAACAATTATGTTGTTATGTTAGTTGTAGAATAATATTTAATATATCAATTTTTAGCAAGAAACTATATAAAATTTAATAATGCATATTATACATTTTTATCGTATAAAATGTATATTAGAAAATATAACAGAAAAATATTTTATTTAAAAAATAATAGATATCTTCAAAAGCATTTCCTTGTTTAAAAAAATGTAATATAGTAATATCAAAACAAAGCAATTTAATTCCAACAAACATTTTTATGAAGATAAATACATTATAAGAGACAACAGGTTACTATTGAAATGAAATATAATAGCTACTATAAATAAAATTATGAAAGATTAATATAATATATTAAAATTAATATATATAATTAATATATATTAAAATTAATATATATAATTAATTTATATTAGTATTAATATATATAGGTAATTATTTATCTATACATAAAGTATATGGAAAAATAAATTTTTTACAACTCATTTGTGTTCAGAAATATAACAATGTAGTGCGTATATTAAAAGAAAATATACCCAATTATTAAAGAAAAATATTTTTCATATATATCCTCATTTTAATTCTCCAAAACGAATAAATTCGTTTATAATAATGTGTCACATAACTATAAATAAAGAATTACTAGTCAATGAATATTAAAAACCTATGAAAAGGTTACTAAAATAATCACGAATTTATCATTTAAATACGATGTTTTCTTATTATATAATTTTAAGATATAGTAATCGACATTTGTTTCGCTGGAGCAAATCCGACTCGGTCTTTTTCAAAATCAAACACACTATAATAACGGCGAAGAAATACATTCCCTAGAACCCAAAACTTAGTAGTGTTATGTGGTCTAAAACCGCTGTCACACTCCGTGAGATTCTCTATTGGTATCTGTACAGAAGCACAAAAAATGTAAGTTTTCTAAATTTAAATAGTTTCCTAGCCAGAAATAATTGTCAAATCGACGTCGATTCGACAATTATTTCTGGGCTTAAATCTATTATAGGATCTATAATATTTACCGGTACGATGTAATCCTGATTTGTAAGATTGAACATTTTATCAGGACCCATAATAAAACTGATTACTGGCATGTCAGTAGAGTTTTTCTTGGTGCAGTTTATCTTTAAACAAAAGAGATCCAATTAAGAAATAGCAACTCACAACACAATTATCAATTTATATTTTAGTAACTTCTTATAATTTTTTTTCTACAGAAAGCTATGTCATTGTTAAAGGAAAATTGTTTACTTACATTATACCGTTCATAAGTTCCAATAAGTTCATTAATAATTGAGATGTCCGATAGTGGTCCATATATTAATGAGGTACCTGTATCAGCGATAGCTTGACAGTCACCCGCGCAGAAGGTATAATTATGTATTCTGATCCTACATAACAATAATAATATTAACAATTTGTTGTAATTATGATTATGAGAATAATTTTAAAAATAACGTACTCATTTATAGTAAATTTCCAGTATTCTTTCTCAGTAACAGGAACATACGTCAACTCGCCTTCGTAATAAGCGGGATCAGTACCACCCAATATTACTTCACCACCGACATTGGCCGAAGAACCTCTGCGCAGGTTGTATATTTTTTATTGTAATATATATATATATATATTTTTTTTTGTTAAAAAAACAATTTTCAGACATACGCAATGCATGAAAATAAAATGCATACTTATTCAAATAAAAGCTGACAACGGCTGATGACACTAGGCCTTGTGTTACCATATTGTAAAACACAGGCGTTACATCGTGGACGACCCACGCGGAATAACCTATGCCCAAAATACCATCAAATTTTGCATAAGTGAACGCAACGCCTAACATGTGTGTTACTTCCCCAAATATTTGATTTTGAACATTGAGACCGGCAATCTAGAAATATAAATTGGTATATTAATAATAAAATATCACGAAAATGACATAATTTAAAAATACTTAAAAAGTGTTTATAAACTTCGATTGTAATTGATCAAATTGGCTTATTTGTTTAATGATTACTTACATTCACTACATCAGTGGATAAAAATCCAGCTATATCGCCACTGCCATATGTAATCTCAATCGTAGTACCATTTGGTATATATGTACTGGATTTTGTACTATTATATTTGTTATGCAGGTCTATAAAAAATAGAAAGTAATATTATAAGAAATTATCGCAATAGAGAGATTTTTAAAATAAAAAAGGTTTTTAAATAATTACTGATAAAAAAATTGTCTCCAAATAACAAGATCTACTCGTATATTTTTGGCGTGACACCTTATATCAGACATTCTGTATACATTAATAAATTACTTACCGCAAGCAGAGACTGAACGGTTGCATCTTTGGGATGGTACCCAAAGATCTGAGGAACCAGTATCAATCAGTACTTTAAATTCCTGCGGTGGTGTTCCGATAGTAATAACAGCGTAATACTGAGCATCTAAATAATTGTATAAACGCACCTTAGGAAGAGTACTCGTATTACCTTTGGTCATAGAAATTTTTGGAATGTCAATGTCACGCTTTTTCAAAGTATGTCGAATATAATCCGTCTTGTGTAATAAAACCCTTGAAATAACATAAAGAACATCCTGTTTTAGTTTACATTATTTTACAAAATATAAATATTTTATGCATTAGTTATATCAGAAACATTTATTAACTCCGTAATTTTTCTAGATTACCTATATGATTTATACGTTTCATATATATTTGAAATAATATTTACTTTATGGCTCAAGTATTATATGTATACTTATATAAAATAAAGTCATTATATAATTTAAAAGACTTTGATTTTTAGAATAAAAACTAAAACCATATTGCATGCAATTTGACACAAGAGAATAACTCCATATAAAACAATATTCTAAAAGCAGATTATATACACAGAGCTGAGTAAACAAACAGTACAAAACAACGCATTAGTACCGAGAGTTTATTTGTTTACGCATAAAAAATTAACTTATACTTAAGTGTTTTGATCTCGAATCATAACATACATGTACTTTAACGACAATTAAATGTAGATCAAAACTGTAAGGTATACCGACAAATTTCGCGAATTCACAAAGAATCACTTTTTCTATAACATTCAATGTCTCCATCTTTTTACTAATAAATAAAAATACATTTTTGTAAAATAATTTCCTCCAATCGTTATTGAAACGTTAATTGCGTTTACACAAATTTCGCTTCAAATCCAAAAAATCAGATGCAATTACGAAAAAAGAATCATCTCTATATATAATCTCAATATATAATGCAATGCAATGTGCACTTACTTCTGCAATTGCGCGTCGATCATCGCAAAGATTACGACAACCAGCATAAAAATGCGAATCATGTTTGCGAATTTACTTGCGATTGGAACATCGAATCACAAAATTTCCAGCGACGAATTTTGTACCTTATGACCGGACACACAGAAAAATAAAGCGTTGTCGATTACTAGCACTTTAATAACCCTGTTTCGATATTCAGGGGCTTATATATATGATCGCGAAGCGCTTAAATAAATGCTTGAGTGGGGTGACATTGACAACAACAAACAAAACATTTGAAAAGAATTCCGATAGATCTCTATTAATCAATTTAATTTAAACATATATTTTTGATATGCTCTTTGAATTAATACAACGTGTATTTAGATAAAATATCAATAATTATTGAAAAAACAATTATATCTTCGCAAAAATATACTCTAGATCAAAGTTTATGGATTATTTTTACTTTTATCTTATATCTTATATATATATATATATATATATATATATATATATTAAATTAATTTTTCTTTTTAACAGATGTTGCATTATTTTATCTTTTTAAAAATAAAAATAATCCATAAACTTTGATCTAGAATAGAATCTAGAATTTTTGCGAAAAGGTAAGTGCTGTATATATATATACATGTATATCTTCAGGATATTTTTCAATTTGTCTGTTGACAATGAGACAAACAGTGTATATCTTTATCCTGTATTTTTGTAGCGTGATTATTACCATATATTATTGAAAATTTATTTTATTTGTTAAAAATGTCAAAATAAAAGAAATTTCATAATTTCTCGTGTGAAAGAAAAATTCATATTTTTTTTCTTTGCTAGAAAAATGAAGATTAGACTCACTGTCGCGTTCAGCGTCTGCAAAAATATTGGATGTCTAGGTTTTCTTAATGGATAATGGATGTTTCCATTAGTAAAAAAAATCACGTGGAGATTCGCGAACATTTATCTAAACAATCCAGACGTTCGTGCTAGCGACTTTGCGTTTCGACTCTAAACGAATCCGTCAATGAGGTTGGTTTATTTGCCGAGGGAATCGTCGTGGTACAGAATCGCTGTCATCTGTAATACCAAATAATTATACTGCGTGTTGTATTCGAAGACACTTATTCGCTTTTATATAAAGGAAATATTAAAGAATGCGTCTCATAATTTTATACAAATTATAATACCTATTGAAAGAAATATCTATAATTGGTTGCATTTTATGATTTACATATTTATGTTGAAAAAACTTCCGGGTTTCCAACACAATCAATCAAATCTAAAAATATCTCGTTTAATATTTTCTTTAATCAGCGCAAACTATTAAAAAATTATGAAATGTGTGTGTGATTAATGAGGAAAATGCGATCAGTATTTTGAAAGAATACATTATTTACGTCAACTAGACAGCCATACAAAGAATTAACTTTGCAAATGACATTTCGTTTGCAAGAAACATTATAATTAGCAACAATAAGCTCAACTGCTTTTAACTACGGAAAAATTTATGTTGATGAAATGTAAACTTTATATCAGTTGATGGTAGGAAATGATTGAATTTTCTTCTTAAAACTACAAATAAATTTTAGAAAATTGATGATAAAGTTTCGATAAAGTTTCACACAATGTGATGTAATAAGGTACTTTTTACTTTGATTAATTTTTATTCCGATTTAGCTGACCATCATCTTTTTGAAAAATTTTAATTATTCTGTTGTTTTTCATTTATTTATATTATACGATAAAATCTGTACACTCACTTTCTTTTTAATCATTTTTGTCTATATAAATATAAGCTTTCGTCTCATTATCGCAGTTTTATTGAAATATCACTTGTTTTTATGTAATTTCGAATTAGAGAAAAAAAATTTTAAATAAATCAGTATTACAGAAATGGAAAACTGAAAAATGTATATAATAACAATTTTATTGAAGAAAAAATCATTTATTTTACTTTTCAAAAATTTATTTTTCAGAGAACTTTTAAAATATATTATTTACTTTTTACTTTACATTGGAGTTTTATTTTATTATTAACAAACAGTTTTTTGGATAAATTTGTGAAAAAATAAATCTAAGAAAAAACTATAATTATATTAGTGAAAATATAAATTAGTCATAAAAACTTTGATAAATGCTTGCAGTTTTAAAAAAGTATCGATATGCATGGTCTTTGAATATGAGTATCTTATAATCATTGTGGCCTGTGAACAATTATGTTGTTATGTTAGTTGTAGAATAATATTTAATATATCAATTTTTAGCAAGAAACTATATAAAATTTAATAATGCATATTATACATATTTTTATCGTATAAAATGTATATTAGAAAATATAACAGAAAAATATTTTATTTAAAAAATAATAAATATCTTCAAAAAACTATTTCTTTATTTAAATAAATGTAATATAATAAATAAATGTAATATCAAAACAAAGCAAATTAATTCCAACAAAAATTTTAGGAAGATAAATATTGTACATTATAAGAGACAACAGGTTACTATATTGAAATGAAATATAATTAATAAATGCTATAAATAAAATTATAAAAGATTAATATAATATATTAAAATTAATATATATAATTAATATATATTAAAATTAGTATATATAATTAGTTTATATTAGTAATAATATATATAGGTAAATATTTATCTATATATAAAGTATATGGAAAAATAAATTTTTTACAACTCATTTGTGTTCAGAAATATAACAATGTAGTGCGTATATTAAAAGAAAATATATCCAATTATTAAAGGAAAATATTTTTCATATATATCCTTATTTTAATTCTCCAAAACGAATAAATTCGTTTATAATAATGTGTCACATAACTATAAATAAAAAATTACTAGTCAATGAACATTAAAAAACTATAAAAAGGTTACTAATTTAATCACGAATTTATCATTTAAATGCGATGTCTTATTATATAATTTTAAGAAATAGCAATCGACATTTGCTTCGCTGGAGCAAATCCCACTTGATCTTTCTGAAAATCGAACACGCTATAATAACGACTAAGAAATACAACTCCTAGAGTCCATAATTTATAGATATGGTTATCCGGTAAAAAACCACTTTTACACTCCGTGGGATCATCTGTTGACATCTGTACAGAAGCACAAAAAATGTAAGTTTTCTAAATTTAAATAGTTTCCTAGCCAGAAATAATTGTCAAATCGACGTCGATTCGACAATTATTTCTGGGTTGAAATCTATTATAGGATCTATAATATTTACCGGTACGATGTAATCCTGATTGGTAAGATTGAACATTTTACCAGAACCCATAATAAAACTGATTACTGGCATGTCAGTAGAGTTTTTCTTGGTGCAGTTTATCTTTAAACAAAAGAGAATATCCAATTAAAAAATAGCAACTCACAACACAAATATCAATTTATATTTTAGTAATTTCTTATAATTTTTCTACAGAAAGCTATGTCATTATGAAAAGTATAATTGTTTCCTTACTCTATACTGTCCATAAGTGACAGTAGCTCCAATAAGTTCATTAATAATTGCGATTTCATATTGTGGTCCATATATTAATGAGGTACCTGTATCAGCGATAGCTCGACAACCACTCGCGCAGAAGAGATAATTATGTATTCTGATCCTACAGCACAATAATAATATTAACAATTTGTTGTTACTATGATTATCAGAATAATTTAGAAAATAACGTACTTATTCATAGTAAATTCCCAGTATTTTTTATTATTAACAGGAATATACGTCAACTCTCCTTCGTAATAATCGGGATCGGAACCACCCAATATTAATTCACCACCGATCTTGATCGAAAAATCTCTGCACAAGTTGTATATTTTTCATTGTAATATATATTTTTTTTGTAAAAAACATTTATAGACATACGCAATGCATGAAAAGAAAATGGATACCTATTGAAATAAAAGCTGAAAACGGCTGATGACAGTAGGCCTTGTGTTATCATATTGTAGAACACAGGCGTTACATTGTTGATGGACCACGTGGAATAACCCATGCCCAAAACACCATCAAATTTTGCAACAATGAACTCAATGCCTGGCTCGTGCATTGCTTCCCCAAATATTTGATTTTGAACATTGAGACCGGCAATCTAGAAATATATATATATATAAATTAGTATAATAATGATAAAATATCACGAGAATGGCCATGTATAAAAACTCTTAAAAAGTGTTTATAATCTACGAATGTAGTTGAATTAAATTGGTCTATTTGTTTAATGATTACTTACACTCACTACATCAGCAGATAAAAATCCAGCCATAGTGCCAGTGGTATATGAAATCTCAATCGCAGTACCATTTGGTACATATGTACTGGATTTTGTACTATTATATTTGTTATGCACGTCTATAAAAAATAGAAAGTAATATCAGAAATTATTGCAATAGGGAGATTTTTAAAATAAAAAATTTTTTTAAGTAATTGCTGAGGAAAAATTGCCTCCATATAACAAGATCTACTGGTATATTTTCAGTGTGACAACTTATATCAGACACCCTGTATATATTAATAAATTACTTACTGCAAACTATGTTTGAACGTTTGCATTTTGTGGATGGTATCCAAAGATTTGAGGAACCAGTATCAAACACTACTTTAAATTCCTGCGGCGGAGTTCCGATAGTAATATTACCATAATACTCATAATCTAATAAATTGCATAAACGCACCTTAGGATGAGTGCTAGCTTCGGTCATAGAAAGTTTTGAAATGTCATTGCCAAGTTTCTCCAAACTATGTCGCATAGAATCCATCTTGTGTAATAAAATCCTTGAAATATCATAAAGAACATGCTGTTTTAGTTTACGCCATATAAATATTTTATGCACTAGTTATATCCGAAACATTTATTAACTTCGTGATTTTTCTAGATTACCTATATAATTTATGCGTTTCATATATATTTGAAATAATATTTACTTTATGGCTCAAGTATTATATGTATACTTATATAAAATAAAGTCATATATAACTTAAAAGACTTTGATTTTTAGAATAAAAACTAAAAACATATTGCATGCAATTTGGCACAAGAAAATAATTTCACATAAAATAATATTCTAAAAACAGAATATATATACAGAGCTGAGTAAACAAACTGTACAAAACAACGTATTAGTACCGAGAGTTTATTTGTTTACGCGTGAAAAAATAACTTATACTTAAGTGTTTTAATTTCGAATTATAATGTATGTACGTTAAGGACAATTAAATGTAGACCAAAACTACATACAAGGTAGGCAGATAAATTTTGCGAATTTACAAAGAATCACTTTTTCTATAACATTTAATTTCTCCATCTTTTTGCTAATAAATAAAAATACATTTTTGTAAAATAATTTCCTCCAATTGTTAATTGCGTTTACACAAATTTCGCTTCAAATTCAAAAAATCAGATGCAATTACGAAAAAGGGAATCATCTCTATATCTCAATATTATCATATCATATAATGCAATGCAATGTGCACTTACCTCTGCAGTTGAGCGTCGATCATCACAAAGATCGCGACGGCTAGCATAAAAATGCGAAACATATTTGCGAATTTACTTGCGATTGGAACTTCGAATCACAAAAATTTCAGCGATGAATTTCCATCTTATGATCGGACACACAGAAAAATAAAGCGTTGTTGATTGCTAGCACTCTTACTAACCCTGTTTCGATATTTAGGGGCTTATATATATGATTGCGAAGCGCTTATTGAATGCTTGAGTGGGGTGAAATTGGTAACGATACACAAAACATTTAAAAAGAATTCCGATAGATTTCTATTAATCAATTTAATTTAAAGATATATTTCTGGTATATTTAATTAATACAATGTGTATTTACATAAATTATCAGTAATTAATGAAAAAAGCAATTATCTCTTCGCAAAAATATACTCTAGATCAAAGTTTATGGATTATTTTCATTTTTATCTGATATCGTTAAGCGTCTGCGAAAATATTGGATGTCTACACTTTTTTAATAGATAATGAATGTTTTCATTAGTCAAAAAAATCACGTAGAGATTCGCGAACATTTTTTTAAATGATCCAGACGTCCGTGCTAGCGACTTTGCGTTTCAACGCTAAACGAATCCGTCACTGAAGTCGGTTTATTTGCCGAGGAAATCGTCGTGGTACAAAATCGCTGCCATCTGTACAGCCTAAATATTTATGCTGCGTGTTGTATTCGAAGATACTTATCCGCTTTTATAAGGGGAATATTAAAAATGCGTCTCATAATTTTATACAAATATATAACACGTATTGAATTAAATATTTAAAATTGGTTGCATTTCATGATTTACATTTTTACGATTGAAGAAAAATTTATATGCAATTTTGAAATCAAATACAAACGGTGTTAACAAAGCATATATATTTAATATAAATATAGGAGATTTATTTAAAATAATTATATTACGACTATGTGTGACTTATTCTATTAATTTTGACATTGAATAATAAAGCTGATTATTTGATTTATATTAAATATTGGTATGTTTTTATTCGCATATTGAAAGATTAGAATTAAAGTTGATTTTGAGTGATCGATCTTCGATTTAAATAAATTTTTAGAATGACACTTTTCGGCCGAGTGTTAGAATATTTTAGTCTCTGAAAGATCACTGATGTTAACAGTCGGAGGGTCGTGGTTAGCGCCCACGCTAGACCAGGTGTTTAAGATTAATAGGGACAGATCGATCGGCTGCCGAGGGAAAGGAATACGGCGATAAAATCGTCGCGCGATCAATATTATTACCCTTTACTTTTTACGACGCTTACTTCTCTTTTATGCTCAAAGTCTTTTACAAAATGTTATATCGCGGATAATATTTATCTCTTAAAATTTAAATACAATAAAATATAATTTAATCATAATTTAATTATATGTATTTTAATTTTATATGATTGAAGAATATATCTTTTTCATTTTTATTCTTTGCGAACAATATATGCGATGCCATTTATTTGAGTACAGGTATAGTATATCGAAATCTGTTAGTTCGATAATGTATATCTGGAAAATTAGTGCAACAATTTAAAGCAAAAGTACCATAATTACACAAATTACGTATTGCATTTATTGACTGATTCAGTTCACGTTAATAGCCAGTTCCTTCTCGCCTAGCTCTCTGTTCAATTGATTGATCATCGAGTCCAATTACTTCGAAAGTCACTTGCGGCGAGTTTTGCGTTATGCAATCTTCTCGCATTTTTATTGAAAGTGTTTTAATCCTTGATCTAACAACGAGCATAAAGCGGTGAACGATGGGACACATAGTGTTCCGGTGCTTTTTCAACGGAAGAGAAAAAAAGAGAAGGGATAACAGATGGAGAGATTCGCGAGACAAAGAAGGAGAGAGAGCAACAGCGCGTTGTTGTTGACACTCGGGGTAACAATTCCCACGAGGCAGGTGGCACGCGATTGGCAGTGCTAAAATTGAACTTGGACCGCGATTGGCCGTGTACGCGACGAGGACTTAGTCACCGTTCCGCTTTTGGAAAATTGGCGCGATGCCGAATTTCCGAAACCCTCGGCCCGAAGGGTTTTGCGCGATGTTTCTTCCCTCTTCTCGCTGCATCGTCATCTCTTCTTTTCCCTTTTCGTCAAAGGGATCCACCGCCGATCCACATCGCGAACACGCTCGTTCCATGTTTGTGACTTTCGACTACGTAATTGACAGATAACGTATGAATAAAGACTAAAGTACCACGTTAAATAAGAATTTACGTTCTAGAAGTGAAGACCCAAATCTCAAGAGAAAAACGATACATCTTGATTTAAAACTATGACAAATGTGATTTGAAGATAAAAGTGATATATGGGATATCTATTTATACTTTTCAAAGAAAGAGAGAGAGAAAGAAGATAATCGAAAGCTCAAATAGTAAAATTTACATGTTATTTTTATATCTGGTATTTTATGTAAAAATAGTTTATTATTTAAAATTGAAAAGAGTCTATGGATAAAATCGATACTGTATACATACCAATTTCAATAATAGTATTAGCAGTGTTTACTGTTATCTAAATAAAATTATAGCGTTATCTTGTCTTAAATAGATAATAAAAATGTATACTATTTATATCTGCATTTTAGATGAAAAAAAGTATTATCTTCACGCGGAATTATCTAGAATAAATTTAGATAATTTGGTTCAGAGTCGTAGCACATAAAAATATTTAATTAGTAGAACTTAAGCAGTAAACGATACAAACTTATAAATAAAAGTATAAATATATTTTTATATCTCTTTAATAATTTAGATTTTAAAAATAATATTATCTAGAAGTTATCTAGACAAATCGCTATATAATTTTATTTGGATATATTTCAAACAAAATCATCTTTTATCTTATCTAAGAATTTCTATATTATATTTTCATCTCATTTTTATCTAGCAAAATTTTTAAATCACCCAAGCACAACATTGAGCATCAGTAATGAAATTAACGCGATAATATAAGGATGCAGTCTATCGCGGCAGCTGTTGTTCCACCAACACTAACTCGTCTATTTTTAATCGCTTTTTAGTCACGCTAACCGTCATGTCTCGCCTACAACGCGACGGGTTAAAGAAAGAAAAGGACGAGGCACGAGGCTGCCGTCGAGATTGCAACATCGAATCCAATGTTTACGAGAGACACGACGCGAAGGCTCTCCGGTTAAAAGGGTCAGTGAGCCAGGGTCACCGGTTTCGTATCCACATGGCACGCCGCTTCTCGTGTGAACGCGCATTATTCCTATTACGCATTATGCGAAGGCTACTCGCTATATACTCACTATCGCGCGTGAAGGTGTTCTTCACTCTTAAAGGAAGAAACGGCTTACCCTAAGAGGCTAATTAAAGCACCGTCGAATATCGCCGAGAGCCATTAACGTGGCACAATCGATGCCTTCAGAGTATACAGAGTATAAGATGAATCTGAGACCATAAATCTCTTTGTTTTTTTTTATATATAAAAATGAAAGAATTCACATAATTGTGAATTCATTTTCTTGAGAGAACACTAATCATAACATCTTTTAGACCAATTTTCGCAAATTCTTAAAATAATAGAGAACATTGTTTGAATAATGTTTAATAATTCTTGCTAAATATTCTATTTCGATGAAAAATACAATATGTCTTGATTACAAATATTCATTAACAATATCGAAACTCGTGTATTAATTCCGTGACATAGTATATACTGTCAAAAGTTTGAAAAGGCGTTTGCGTGTTTGTGCAACGACGATAATGGCGACTCGGGACAATGGTGAAAGTGGTCCATTGTTGCCTCTCGAATCCTGCTTTCCGCTATCAATACTATCGTTAAGGGGCGCGTAGGAGGACGAACCGCTGCTTACGAGATCGTTTTCAAGTTTTCTTCGCGGGTACAGAGTATTCCTACTTATTTAAGGCTCTCGCATTATCGCATTACCCGTCTAAGGATTGCATAAGCGCTATATATGGAACTAAAAGCTGCGACATTCATCTCCACTAATCTGCAACGTATATCGCGATTTCCGATCAATCATTTTAGTCATCGCCTGAATGCGCGATCGCTAAGAACAGATGGATACGTAACTACGCATTATACTTCGCGAAGCGAATTATTAACGCTGCAGCGCAATAACAAAATGAGGCGGAATAAATTTTCGTTGCCGCCTTAGGTAGGTCTAGACTTCTGTAATATGTCTAAACAAGTTTCTCATTACACATGTTCGTCGCCTCTAATGCGCGGGGACAACTTATGGATCATTTCCTGACAAATACATGCATATATTATCGCTTGCAAATGATCCCTTGTCGATTGACAAATTTAAATAATTTATTTAAATCATTCATTATACGCGACAGTGTGTGAATATCGAAAACTCGCGAATAGAGCATCTATCAGCGACTTTGCGGGATCTTTTTCCACAAATAACTCTCGAGAAGCATATGTGGACGCGAAGGTTCGCGAGGCGTTAGCGATTTTATGGTTCGCAGGCACAGGCAGGCAGAAACGTCGAAAGAAGCTGAGAATCTCGCGTGTGTATATGTGTATGTATATGTTGTGGGCGGTTCCCGTGTCTTCTTCCTTCGCTTCTCGTCGTTCGCCAACGATCCGTACTTTTTCTCGCCTTTTTTTCCTTCCTGACTCTCGCAGAATACCGTGTGTCTCTTCAGTTTCTTTATCTCGGTATCACGTGGGTCGATTTCTCTTCTGAATCTTCGCAGAGAATTGGTTTCGAAGACTATAGTATATACAAAGGATGCGCAAGAAGAGAGAAAAATATTTGTTTAATTTTAGTAAATAAATTTGCGAATCACTTCTTCGTTCGCGCTAATGGACGAACATTTCTTTCGCCATTATTTCTTGGCGCCACTTTTTCCAAGAATTGCCAAATTTGCGGCAGCAGTAACACGTCTAGCACGTGCAAGATCGCGAATTGCATAACGTTGTGTCACTAGACTTTCCTCGAAAAGCAACGCGTCAACAATAAATCCCTTCTGTTGACACTGCAACTGTGTGGCGAGTCTTATTCATCGGTTTATTTTTAAGCGGTACTGCAACCACGTTCCTCCACCATGTCCGCCGGAATTACGTAAGAAGCGCGACTGAAGGGTGATATCGCGCTGTGATAGGGTCATTTTCGTACACGGATACGCAGATCTTCAAGAATAATAATGATTTAGG